TCTCCCATCCAGGTACTAGGGACTTTAAGCAACAGCCTCTGGTGGAACGGCAACGGCATTCTGGCGTTCTATTGCGCATGCGCGACATTAACTGCTACTTCTTGACGTTCTACATAACCGTCTACTACGGGAGAACAGCTGATTTGCCGTAGTCGTTACTACGTGACAGATTAAGACAGTTAATGTTATGTTTTAGGTTATGTGGCATTGAAATCGTTTCTGTATATCATTAAGTGCTAAAATCAACCCTTCTCTTTCTTTTTAAAACCCCTTTCTTTTTGTATTTTGTCTGATGATTAAATGATTCCCTATGCCGTCCTCTTTACTGTTGCTTAGTGATTTTTGCGCTCTTTAACTACGGCAGTTAACTGTTTATTTCCGGCTGCCGTCGCCGTTCTATCAGCAGCTGTTGCTTAAAGTCCCTACTAACCAGGCTCAGCCCTGCTTAGCTTCAGTGGGCAACCAGTCTTGGGCTACATGGTGATATGGCTGCTGCTAGTTGAATTTCTCTATTTCAATATTATTACCCAATTGGCTCTATCTGTTGAACCTGCCAAATTTTATGCTGTTAGCATTAGCATCAATATTATGCTGTTAGTGATTAAAAACAACAACTGAAAAAAACAAACATGTCCATAAGGATGCACAAGGGTTAATGATATATTTGTATTTTTTTTCATCCCTGCTAGCCAGGGCATTTGTAATAATTGGAAGCATATGCAATATGATTATTTGAATGAGCACTAATACAGGTGTTCCTCTATTAGCTTGCTGTTAAGGTAGTTGTAAGTATTCTAGGTATTTTTTATGTTGTTTGCTAAACTGGGCTAATGTGGTCTTATGTTTGGCAGATGACAGCCACTGTGATGAGGAGGCTGACCAGACCATTCCACAGTCAGAGGCAACTCTGCATAAAGATGCTGACACTCAGTGGGAGGTTCAGGCACTGATGGATCACACCTACACATTAGAAGGAAAGATGAAGGATGTATGCGACAGAGAAACACAATGTGGTGGAGAAGTACCCCTTGCCCATGCCATCCTGAAGAATGACACTAGCTGTGTGTTGTACACAGGCCTTTCTCTCAATGCATTTTTTGATCATATTAAATATCTGGAACAGTTCTATCCACAAGTTTCCGAGGGGCGCTCCTGTAAAAAATAAAGTGGGTGAAACTTCCGGTGACGCGGCGGAAGTAGCATTCCAATGGTATTTTGTGTGATAGTTAGCGAAGAGGCTAGCTGTTTTTCGGAGAATTATTTTACTATTTAAAGACGCAAATCTTTATGAGAGATGTCGTTACGGAGCTCAGGGACAACATGTGCTGTTCGTGGTTGTATGTATAACCGGACTAAACTAGTTCAGTGGCTTAAACGGGATTGTTTTGAACATAAGCTGAAAACGAAATCAGAGTGATCCTGCCAAAGACTGTAGTGTCCATCACCTCCCAAAAGACGACGAATCTTCCTGTGTACATTAGTTTAGATTCTTAATATTCTATAAACTCTCTCAGCATGTGATTGGCTGTTCGCTACTGATGTTACACCTAAACTCAGGATCAATACCAAATGTGCCAGTTAATGTATTCAAGCAGCACATTCATTTATAATTTTGAATAAACTCCAAAGCACAATGACTAAGTGTGTATTTTTTATTTGAATTGTTTGTCAGCTCGCACAACTGTCTGTCACCATGCCTTGATGAGTATTGATTATTAATAATGTTATTATAATACTCCCAATCAACGACTGTGGAGGGTAAAGGTACTGTTATTTCACCCTTTTGAATTTCGTTGAGGTTGTGTTCCCACATCGTTAGCTAGTTTGGATCGCTATAACTTGAATGACTGTCAACTGTTGAATGAACGAGTGCATGTCAAGTCGCGCTTTGTTTACTTCCAACCGGAAGTCGCGCCCACTTTTGACGCAAGGCCTCATGGGGCGTAGGAAACTTGTGGATAAAGCAAACTTTAAGATACACGACATGGATCAAATATTGATGTCCATGATGAAACTAAAGTTGAATCTACTCCAGGGTGATCTTGCCGAACGCTTTGCTGTGTCCCAGGGGTTAGTGAGCAGGATCCTCTCCTACTGGATAGACACAATGGAGGAGAATCTTCATTCCTTGGCTGCCACATGAGACAATCCGGAGCATAATGCCTCAGTGCTTCAGGGAGAAGTTCCCCAACACCACCTGCATCATTGACTGCAGTGAGACCAACCTGCAGAAACCACACAACATTGACTCTAGAGGCGAGTCCTACAGCCATTATTATTCCAGCAATACTATAAAGTATTTAGTTCCTATTGCCCCGTGTGGGCTTGTTATGTTCATTTCTCCTGCTTATGGAGGCAGGTGTAGTGACAAGTTCATCACTCAGGAGTCTGGCTTGAAGTGATGGCAGACAGAGGCTGTACCATCAGAGATCTGCTGTTTGAGAGAGGGGTTAACCTTGTTCTACCAGCGTTCACTCATAAAGGAGGGCAGTTGTCTGATGAGGACGTAACTGCCACAAGGAGGATTGCAAATGTTCGCATTCATGTGGAAAGCGTTATCAGGAGGCTCAAAGTGTTCAAAATAATCTCCCAGACTGTACCCATCAACTTGGCACACAAAATCCTCAGAATCTGTGCGGCCCTTGTGAACATGCGGGGGGGAATCAGCCACGAGGATGCTAATTGAGCATGGACATATATTATCCATAATATTTGTAAATAATTATTTGACAGCCTGCAGTCCCTTGATTGTACTATAATTTTCACATCTGATTTGTCTATCTGTCACTGATCTCTATTCTGCAGTGCTGATTAGTTATTTTATATTAAATTGTAAAATGGAATTATAATACACAAGAATGTGTTTTGGATCTCAGGTTTTATACTAAATAGTTTGTGTTTGACACGTAGCGTATTTTAAAATATCAACTTATTTTGAGACCATTTGATTACAGATACAAAAACATGATATTTAACTGTAGGGAAAATAAATACATCTTCAGAGTAGTGTTGTCACGGTACCAAAATTTCAGTATTCGGTACCAATACCAGTAAAAATTCACGGTTCTCGGTACCAATTTCGGTACCAAAGCTTAGTTTAAATTTACATACATTTAAGTGTTTATCACGGTTACAAGAATGGAAACTGTACATTTGTATTATAAACACTTTAGAAAAAGATTAGATAAAATGACCTAAAATAAACAATAGTATACACTAACACATTTTTAAAGTTGTTTGTAAAGTTTTAATCCGTTAACATTTATTTAATGCACAATGAATGAACTGAACAAACATGAACAATCAAGTGTTTGTATTAAATAACATTTACAAACATTAATTAATGTTGTAAAATATTGTTCACTCAATGTGTTGATGTGAACTAAGTAATGTTGATGAATGGTAGCTATCTTATTGTAGCATAACCAAACTATACAGGAGATAAAACATGTTTTATTTGACTTGACTGTACTTTTATTGAATCTAAACCTGCATTCATATTTAATTTTAAAAAGGCTTTTTAAACCTGCTGAGTTATAAAGGCAAGAATACGCCTAGCTCTGGCACTTGACATTAAATGACATAAATAGGGATGCGTCGATACTAATACCAGTAGCAGCTACTCTGGTGTCGGTTGGATACTACTGTGCTCATGTACTTGTAAAACTACACCGAAAGCACTTTAGAGGCCGTTCACATATCGCGCGTGTTTTTTATTATATTTTTACGCGTGCTTATTCTTTCCAAAGCGCTTGCTCTCACGCGGCGTCTGTCGTTGCTATGCAACGAATTTTTATTATGAGCGCGCTTGCCTCGCGCCTATATTTGAAATTGCGAATTTGCATGTAATCGGCCTTTTATGGCAACGTGACATTAGCCTAATTCAAAATATTTCCATATGTGGTTCTTTCCTCCTTTCGTATCAACAAGTGGATTCAGAGAGAGAGCCATATCAGCGTTACGAAGAGGACGCAACAGTGCACCTTTCAGACAGCGCGTCTAGAACTGGATTAACCTGGTATTCGGTACGGTAGCACCTAGAAAAGCTGGTACCGTAACATTTTTTTTTTTTTAGTACCGACTTGGTACCGAAGTACCGAGTTTTTTGACAACACTACTTCAGAGCAGGAAAACAAGTCCTCCAACACACCCACGACTATACATATCTGGGTCTAAAACTGAGTTCAACAGGGAACTTTAATCTGGCTGTGAATGAGCTGAAGGCAAAGTCAATGAGAATCTTCCACATGATTAAAAATACAATTAGACATGAAATTCCAATTCAAACCTGGCTAAAAATCCTAAAAGCAATACTTGAACCCATTTCTCTGTATGGCAGCGAGATATGGGGACCTCTAAAAACCCAAGATTTCTCAAAATGGGAAAAAGAAGAAATTGAAACTCTGCATACCCAAATTTGCAAAAACATCCTAAAAGTGAACAGAGCGACACCAAACAACTCATGCAGAGCTGAATTAGGACCATACCCACCTATTGATCAGCATCCAGAAAAGAGCTATAAAGTTCTACCAGCATCTAAAGCACAGTGACCCGAGCTCATACCAGGCCGAAGCCCTGCGGCTGAGTGACCACAGTCTGGCCGTGGAGAGAGGACGGCACCGACAGAGACTGTGTTCACTGTGCTCTCAGAGAGAGGTGGAGACAGAAGAACATTTCCTCATTCACTGTGATCATTATCACAGCATTAGATAGGACTATTTCTCTAGATTCCAACAACTAGATCCAAATTTTATGGCATTGCCAAATTCAGAAAAATTTATTCATATTTTTGGGAGAAAACTCTAGCTCAATCACAACAGCAGCAAACTATGTAACAGCCTGCCACAAATTATGAGAGTCAGAATGTTGGTTCAAAACTGTGTTTTTTGTTTGTTTGTGCCAATAAAGCTCATTTGAATTTGAATTTGAGAGAGAGAGAGAGAGAGAGAGAGAGAGAGAGAGAGAGAGACGTTGAAATAATGAGACAGAAAAGCATGTGTGTCAATATTATTATTTATTTATTAACTTTGTTTTAATTAATTCGTTCATTATTGTTTTCCATAATTGACAGTAGATAACCCAATAAATGAAACACACAAAGCACTTTTTTACAAGTAGGCCAATCAATAATTATTTATTTGTTATATTATCTGGAATATTTATGAAATTACGTGCAGCAGGACTATTAATTTATTTATATAGCCTATTCAGTTTAATTTTCTATTTAGCCTATTATAGATAGGACTATACTTTATTTATTAAAATTAAACTGTATGTGTCCATTGATTGTGAAGTTAGACATCGAAAATTGCAGATCAAGCGCATGGGGCTGCATGTCTTCTCTTGTTATGAATTATATCCTATTTTTCATTAACTACGCGCAGTGATATGGAACTGTAATGCGGTTCAAACTTGCCTGAAACTACTTTAGCCGTGAAAATAATTGCACACCTTTAGAACGTTCTCAACCAATCAGAATCAAGCGTTCAACAGCCCTGTAGTATAATTGATTTGAATATCCCCAACTGAGCAAGCCAAAGGCGACAGTGGCAAGGAACTGAAAAACTCCATCAGGTGACCCGATGGAGGAAAAAAAACCTTGGGAGAACCCAGGCTCAGTCGGGGGCCAGTTCTCCTCTGGCGTTTATGAACTAGAGGCCGAATTTACAGTAACTGTCACGTAAAAATGTATATGAATGTTTCTAAATAGACTTTAAACGCGAACCTGTGATAAATTGGTAGTAACAGCCCTGCTGATGACGTTCACATGCGCATTAAGAATTGATTCAATAGTTATGTGCGTTTGAATATATGCGCGCAGGTTTTTAAATTCCCTCATGCCTGAACAAACTTCTTGTCTATAAATTTGATACAGATTTTCGAATCACTTCAGGGTAGGGACGCGAAACGAATTCACATCGCTTAATCTGTAGAGTGGGAAAGGGATCCTCCATAGGGAGAGGCTAGTTGGCACTTTAGCACTGCATTGTCATCGTCATCGTGTCCAGGCTAAGGTCATCGCCAGATCTGGATACGGCCTGGATCCGGCAGGCTGCGGGAAAACCTCGGGATAAACAAAGACACTAAAATTAGCATAGATGCCATTGTTCTAATGATGTAACGATTATTGTAGCATTGATTGTAACATGATTATTGTAACAGTTTAGTTTTTTTAACAATTTTTAAGACATGTCTTGGAATTAAAAGAAAAAACTTAAGCTTAGTTATGGTATAATGGGTGTTGGTGTGGATGGATTTGTAACGGTCATTTGATTTACCCTCAGCACTTCTCTCATTTATCGGTGCAGTGGTCTGGTCTGAGCTGCGATAATGAAGAGACGGCAGCTTCACAAAACTTCCCGTCCTTGTCCTCTTTCTCATCGGCATCTCATTTTCCTCAAATGGTTGATGATTTTCAGCCGTGTCGGCTCAATCTGGATACGACCTGGACAGAGAAACAGAGTACCTGTGCGTAATCCGGTCCAGGGGTCACATTCAGTCCCGTAGCAGCCATGTATGTCCATGTTTTGATCTTCTCCACTCCATTAAATTTGGGTTTTGACAGCAACTGTTGAGAAATAAATAGTCAAATTTTTAGGGAAAAAATAATTGCCAGTCCAGCAGTTCAATGATCTCTTCAACTTTGGGGCCCCTATTAACAACAGGCCGACCTCTAATTGGACGGGTGTAGGATGACCAGGCTGGAAGAAAGATCATTGTTGATTAGAGGATTTTTATATGTTTTTAGAATAAAAAATGTTTGTCCAGTTTTGGAAAAATGTTGTTTTCATGATCAAACTTACAATTCTGATGTATTCCATGTTCTTTGACTTTTTGACAATTTTCACTGCCACCTGATTAACAAAACAAAACATTTAGCTCATTACAATTACATTTACAACATGTAAGTTGCACCACATAGCCTAGTGAACATAACATACAATAAAAGGACTTGAAATGGATAGTGAGAGGAAAAAGAATTTGCTAAATTGATAAATGTAAGAAATGACTATACCTCAAGTCCATCCTCTAAGCGCTTCCCTTTATAAACCTTGCCAAATCCTCCAAAACCAAGCATTTTGCCGATTTTAAACCGGCTCAGAATGTCGTCTGTTAAAAGATTAATGGTTATAGTTGACATGAAATGTCAAGCATGGACAGCAGTGAGAGTAATATTTGAGATATGGCAGTAAACTCACCCTCAGTTGTTACGTCCACTCTGTGATCTGGTGCTGGACTGTGGTGGACTGGAGCTGAAGGGGTTTGAACCTGCGGATCTACAGGAGGAACGACTTCAAGACCACTGGATAGAGGTTCCTGAAGACCATGATCCTCTAGAGCACAGGCACTGTCCAGTAGAGAATTTCACGTTTCAAATAAATGATGCTTTGGATAAAAAGTGTCAGCTCAATATCTAACTGTTCTGTGTGAAATACATAATAATTACACACTGCATACCCATTATGGTGATTCTTTTGTTAAAATATAACACATGGATTTGTAATGGTCATTTGATTTACCCTCAGCACTTCTCTCATTTATCGGTGCAGTGGTCTGGTCTGAGCTGCGATAATGAAGAGACGGCAGCTTCACAAAACTTCCCGTCCTTGTCCTCTTTCTCATCGGCATCTCATTTTCCTCAAATGGTTGATGCTTTTCAGCCGCGTCGACTTAATCTGGATACGACCTGGACAGAGAAACAGAGTACCTGTGCGTAATCCGGTCCAGGGGTCACATTCAGTCCCGTAGCAGCCATGTATGTCCATGTTTTGATCTTCTCCACTCCATTAAATTTGGGTTTTGACAGCAACTGTTTTGGGAAAGAATTATTGGAGAAGAAAAATATACATTTCACCTTTCGCCATTATTCAAAGTAACAGAAATACACGTTTTCACTTTCTTGGATTGTTTCATTGGCAGGTGGCATGCCAGTTTTCCAGGTATATATGGGATTGCATTAATCTTTCTGAAAATGATGTACAGAGCTCTAATAAACAGAAAACTTCTCTCGCTAGTGGCTGCAGTGGTCTGATCGTCCACTTTCTGACCCTGACCTCAGCTGCTGCTCCGACCTACTCCTCCTCTTCTGTCTCTCCTGACTATCGCTTCCCTTTCTAACAGGTTGATGATAAACATACATTACACATATAAGAGATTTGACCTTTTCCTGTTTCACAATAAACTAAGAACATATCAAACAAATAGACAAAAAAACTGTCTTCCAAATATTAATATACAGGTGAAACTTGAAAAATTAGAACATTGTGCAAAAGTTCATTTATTTACGTAATTCAACTTAAAAGGTGAAACTAATATGTTATAGAGACTCATAACATGCAAAGTGAGACATTTCAAGCCTTTATTTGTTGTAATTGTGATGATTATGGATGAAACCCAAATTCAGTTAGAATATTGTGAAAAGGTTTTCATAGCTGTACGCCATAATCATCACAATTATAACAAATAAAGGCTTGAAATATCACACTCTGCATGTTATGAGTCTCTCTATCATATATGTTTGACCTTTTAAGTTGAATTACTGAAATAAATTAACTTTTGCATGATTTTCTAATTTTTTCGAGTTTCACCTGTAAATCCAAATTCATTTCTAGCTTATTAGGGTCATTACCTTAAACCAATTATGGGAAATGATTTCCTCCAAACCAATCCGTTGGGCTGGGTCTTTCTGCAGGAGGCGTCGAATCAGTTTGCAGCAATCTGTGAAGAGACCTTAAACTTTACACCTGCTGTCTTTCTATTAAGCTGTGAGATTAGACTACGCTATACTGTACGGTTAAAAAAAACTGGAACTGGTAACAGCCATATTTTATGAAGCTTTCTGGTTTTGGTGTTACTGTTACTTCTTTGTTTCATTTGTTCTATTTTGGTGATTTGAAATTATTATTGATCATCTTTTTTATAATGAATGCAATTTTACCGTTGGACAAGTGAAACATAGACCAGGTGTTATTCTTAATCCTCAGATGGTCTTTGGCTTCTGGAAAGCGTCCACACAACATTACGAATAAGAGCATTCCCAGAGACCACACAGTAGCTGGTTTACCGTGGTAATTGCCCCTTGTGTGGAACTCAGGTGGACAGTACGGTCTTGTTCCTAGAAAGAGATTTGTCTGATGGTTAAGCTTGAAATCCCATAGCATGTTTTCTCTAGGAGACGATACACGGGGCAACTTATTGAGCAATGTTGCCGTTAACAGGAAACCAGGTGAGATACAGGGCCCATGACCGATCTAAAGTACCCAGATAGAAATTTGTTGCCCATTCTCAATGAGAAAGCGCCCAAGGAACATCGCTCTGCAACATTGCTCAAAAAAGTTGCCCCATGTATCAACACCTTCTGTATCCATTAGAGTAAATGAATAATTTAGTTGTTTTTATTCACAATTCTGGAGTTTTAAAAGTGAGATCAATCCATGGCCAAACCAGGCGTGAGGCGACATATTTAGTGAGAACATATTCATCTAAATTTAAAAAATAAAAACTTTTTCAAACCTTGATTCATAATACATACCACGGAATTCGTCATAGGCGGACTCTTTCAGGAATCTCCCGCTCCTGAAGTCAATCAGTTTGACCTCGCGTGTTTTTTTGTTGATCAGCAGGTTTTGTAACTTGATGTCGCCGTGGAAAACTCCTCGGTCACAGCACGTCTGAGCAGCCGTTGTTGCCTGCGCCATGATAGTCCGTGCCGTTTCCTCACAGAGGATGCGATTACAATTATTCCAAAAATGAAACACATCTTCGCAGTGTGGGGGACGCTCCAAGACCATGATATATTGGTCAGGCTGGTCCTGCCAGTCCAGCAGTTCAATGATCTCTTTAACTTTGGGGTCCCTATTAGCAGCGGTTAACAGGCCGACCTCTAATGGGACGGGTGTAGGATGACCAGGCTGGAAGAAAGATCATTGTTGATTAGAGGATTTTTATAAGATTTTAGAATAAAAAATGTTTGTCCAGTTTTGGAAAAAATGTTGTTTTCATGCTCAAACTTACAATTCTGATGTATTCCATGCTCTTTGACTTTTTGACAAATTTCACTGCCACCTGATCAACAAAACAAAACATTTAGCCCATTACAATTACATTTACAAACATGTAAATTGCACCACATAGCCTAGTGAACATAATATACAATAAAAGGACTTGAAATGTATAGTGAGATGAAAAAGAATTTGCTAAATTGATAAATGTAAGAAATGACTATACCTCAAGTCCATCTGCCAAGCGCTTTCCTTTATAAACCTTGCCGAATTCTCCCACACCAAGGATTTCGCCGATTTTAAACCGGCTGAGAGTGTCGTCTGTTAAAAGATTAATGGTTATAGTTGACATGAAATGTCAAGCATGGACAGCAGTGAGAGTAATATTTGAGATATGGCAGTAAAACCAATTGTATTGTACAATTGTAGTTTCTTTTTTTAACAAAACTTGTTTAGATATTTAAGACATGTCTTGGAATTTAAGTTTAATTATGGTATAATGTGTGGTGGTGTGGATGGATTTGTAATGGTCATTTGATTTAACTTACCCACAGCACTTCTCTCATTTCTCGGTGCAGTAGCCGCGTCGGTTCTGGATGTTGAGGGGGAGTCGCACACCTGACCGAGGGTAAAAATAATTTGTTATAGGCTGCATTTACACTGCAGGTCTTGATGCCCAAATCCGATTTTCTGACTATATCTGATTTTATTGACAACCCGCTTACATCATCTTTTAAAAGTGACCCATATCCGATTTTTGCATTTACACTATACACTGCTGAAACTACCAAATGCAGACGTTCTGACCCGGGAAATTAAGTAAAACAGCACAAACTTCAATGGATGCAGATGCGAATAAAATTATCCAGTGTTTTTCTTTCCACAATATTTTGAAAAGTCATCAAAACATTGGTCTCGTACGCCGGAGAATAAGAGGAGAGGCACTGTAGCGAGCACTTAAAACGATGCCTCATTTATCTCGTGAAATGTCTTCAAATACAGATTTATTTCTGTAACAACCCTGCATTTTTGCCTGCACTCATCGCCCAAAACACTCAAAAGACATGAAACCTCCGCATTGCTCCACTGTGTGTATCCTTTCTTCCATCGCGCCTATAATCGCTCACTTTTTGATGACGTACGTCTCGCATTTACTGGGGAATATCCGATTTGTCTGCTTACATGGCACACGTGAATGCACGTATCCGATTCATATCCGATTTATTACCACATATGAGTGAGGCCTGAATCTGATCTGAGAAAATCGGAATCCATGCGTTTTTTCTAGGGCTGAACGATTAATTGCATTTGCGATAAAATCGCGATATGATGAAACGCGATTTTGTAATCGCAAGAGCTGCGATTACATTGGTCACGTGACACGCGAGAGAAAAGCAGTCTGCAAGATAAAGCATCAACTTGCCACGCTACGCGGTCTGGCGTTCAGAAAAGAACAGTTTAGTCTATTTTTAAGTGATATTGTGTTATTTATTCTCTCCTCCACAATCCTGGATCAGAGAATTTCAGAATCGAGTCTGAGCTTAGTTTTTAAACACAGATGCGTGATGACGCTGGGCGTGCTTTAGAAACGAACCGTGTTCTGAATCTGCTTGCTTCTATTTTCTCGCTCTCTCTCTTCCTCACTCACACACACGACACCGCTCGAACCTTCCAAAACATAGTAACGTTATTTCATAAAGTTCGGGATTGAACCGAATTACAAGGACATTCGCGGGCTTTATTGAACAGGTTTTGCCGCTTTGCTTGATGTTATAACGTTACACTTGCAGTGCGCGTTCTCTCCCGCGGGAATTTTCTTTACAAATGCTTCACAGAGGCATTATTTATGTCTTTTGGAATGCAGTCGGCTTATATATTAAAACCATGAAAATCACTGAGAAGGCTGCTTTCATTTTAGAATACTAACGCGTGCTTTGTGAAGAGCGCTCGTGCATGCGGCCGTGAGCGACTCATTGGTAAATGTACTTGCATGTCAAAATGCTTTTATGACGCGAAATTAATGTAAACACGGTCAGTTATATCTTAAACCAACAGGACAAACCACATTTACAATTTCAAAAGAGATATATGCATTAGTGTGAATGCAGCTTATCGTATCTAAACTGAGGGGAAATCACTCCAGCTCTTGAATGAAAAACATTCAGACAGCCTACTTTTAAATACTGAGACCACTCTTTGTTTATTGCTTGTAATGTTTTTTTTGTTTCTCTTTATTTACTAGCTTTTATTTTTTGAAGCTATATTATTTTATATAGCCTATTTAAAATTCTTAACATGTAATTGGTTTAATTAAATGTTTTTTATATTTATTTTTTAAAGTATGTGTTTTTACACATGTAATTAAATACATATTTTAAGAGTTATTAAGATTAATTAATAAGAAAAAAAGTAGATCAGATCATGAGCTATCTAAAGATTCCTAAAGATTTGCTTGTCTTTGTCGACTAATACAGAAGGTAAATAACTTTTTTTTTAAATCGCATATTAAATCGCAATCGCAATATTGGTTAAAAAAATCGCAATTAGATTATTTTCCAAAATCGTTCAGCCCTAGTTTTTTCCTGCTTACACGTTCACAGGTCATATCCGATCTGTGCTACATGAGAGGAAGAAATCGGTCACTTAAACCATGCAGTGTAAACGAGGCCATAGAGACTCATAACAGGCAAAGTGAGACATTTCAAGTCTTTATTTGTTGTAATTGTGATGATTATGGATGAAACCCAAATTCAGTTAGAATATTGTGAAAAGGTTTTCATAGCTGTACGCCATAATCATCACAATTATAACAAATAAAGGCTTGAAATATCACACTCTGCATGTTATGAGTCTCTCTCATATATTAGTTTGACCTTTTAAGTTGAATTACTGAAATAAATTTTCTAATTTTTCGAGTTCCACCTGTAAATCCAAATTCATTTCTAGCTTGTTAGGGTCATTACCTTAAACCATTTATGGGAAATGATTTCCTCCAAACCAATCCGCCGTCTTGGGTTTTCCCGCAGGAGGCGTCGAATCAGGTGGCAGCAATCTGTGAAGAGACCTTAAACTTTACACCTGCTGTCTTTCTATTAAGCTGTGAGATTAGACTACGCTATACTGTACGGTTAAAAAAACTGGAACTGGTAACAGCCATATTTTATGAAGCTTTCTGGTTTTGGTGTTACTGTTACTTCTTTGTTTCATTTGTTCTATTTTGGTGATTTGAAATTATAATTGATCATCTTTTTTGTGATGAATGCAATTTTACCTTTTGACAAGTGACGCTCAGACCAGATGTTTTTCTTAATCCTCAGATGGTCTTTGGCTTCTGGAAAGCGTCCACAAACCATCTCGAATAAGAGCATTCCCAGAGACCACACAGTAGCTGGTTTACCGTGGTAATTGCCCCTTTTGTCGAACTCAGGTGGACAGTACGGTCTTGTTCCTAGAAAGAGATTTGTCTGATGGTTAAGCTTGAAATCCCATAGCATGTTTTCTCTAGGAGACGATACACGGGGCAACTTATTGAGCAATGTTGCCGTTAACAGGAAACCAGGTGAGATACAGGGCCCATGACTGATCTAAAGTACCCAGACAGAAATTTGTTGCCCATTCTCAATGAGAAAGCGCCCAAGGAACATCGCTCTGCAACATTGCTCAAAAAAGTTGCCCCGTGTATCAACACCTTCTGTATCCATTAGAGTAAATGAATAATTTAGTTGTTTTTATTCACAATTCTGGAGTTTTAAAAGTGAGATCAATCCATGGCCAAACCAGGCGTGAGGTGACATATTTAGTGAGAACATATTCATCTAAATTTAAAAAATAAAAACTCTTTTCAAACCTTGATTCATAATACATACCACAGAATTCGTCATAGGCGGACTTTTTCAGGAATCTCCCGCACCCGAAGTCAATCAGTTTGACCTCCCGTGTTTTTTTGTTGATCAGCAGGTTTTGTAACTTGATGTCGCTGTGGAAAACTCCTCGGTCACAGCACGTCTGAGCAGCCGTTGTTGCCTGCGCCATGATAGTCCGTGCCGTTTCCTCCCTGAGGATGCGTTTGCGATTATTCCAAAAATGAAACACATCTTTGCAGTGTGGGGGACGCTCCAAGACCATGATATATTGGTCAGGCTGGTCCTGCCAGTCCAGCAGTTCAATGATCTCTTTAACTTTGGGGTCCCTATTAACAGCGGTTAACAGGCCGACCTCTAATGGGACGGGTGTAGGATGACCAGGCTGGAAGAAAGATCATTGTTGGTTGGAGGATTTTTATAAGATTTTAGAATAAAAAATGTTTGTCCAGTTTTGGAAAAATGTTGTTTTCATGATCAAACTTACAATTCTGACGTATTCCATGTTCCTGAACTTTTTGACAAATTTCACTGCCACCTGATCAACAAAACAAAACATTTAGCTCATTACAATTACATTTACAAACATGTAAATTGCAACACATAGCCTAGTGAACATAATATACAATAAAAGGACTTGAAATGGATAGTGAGACGAAAAAGAATTTGCTAAATTGATAAATGTAAGAAATGACTATACCTCAAGTCCATCCGCCAAGCGCTTTCCTTTATAAACCTTGCCGAATCCTCCCTCACCAAGCTTTTTGCCGATTTTAAACCGGCTCAGAATGTCGTCTGTTAAAAGATTAATGGTTATAGTTGACATTCTGTCAAGCATGGACAGCAGTGAGAGTAATATTTGAGATATGGCAGTAAACCAAATTGTATTGTACAATTGTATTTTTTTTTTTTTTTTTGTTGTTGTTGTTTTTTTGTTTTTTTTTACAAATCTTGTTTATATATTTAATAGGGGTGGGAATTGGCAACGATGTGACGATTTGATAGTATCGCGATATTTGGGCCACAATTCAATATTATTGCGATTCTCAATATATATTGTCATACAAGCAATATATTGCGATTCATGTTCCCCATATTATTCAAAGACATCACAAAAATGAGCAAAATAAGACTGCTCAACTCATTTTAATTAAATGTCACATTTAATTCTGTAAACATTATCTTCGACTGAAGTGCAAAAACTTGTTCTTGAACATTCAGGACACAGGACAGGACGTAATTATTCTCTGAATAGGAGAGGAGACCTCGCTCTCACATGAATGTTGAGCTCCAGGATTGCTACGATAGTCGGTGTTACCGGCGTTCCGGCTTGAGCAAATCATTACACACAAATTATGCCAAAAAGTCAGTTTTGTCAAATGTCCTCATAAGAGCTGTCTAAAATGATTTAAATAAAGTCTTAAATGGACATTTGTGAGAAAATGGGACGCGTGTCAGATCGCGTCTCTGTCCTGCATTGCAGTATTAACGTGTAACTAGCCCACAACGCTCAACGGCTGTCCGGATTCACTCACTCGTTTTCATTCACTCCTTCAAGCGACTAACTTAGGGAATAAGCCTAACTTAGTGAATGATTGTTTAGGGGGCGATTTCGGATTCAACCTATATTCTCAATCAGTGAAAAATAAAGAAACCAGTGAAGAAAATCGGAAAGTAAAACAGATAATTTTACAGTATTGCCTCAGAAAATATCGCGATAGTATACTATGCTGTATCGATTCCCCCCGCCCCCCTAATATTTAAGACATGGCTTGGAATTAAAAGAAAAAAAACTTAAGTATAATTATGGTATAAGGCGTGGTCGTGTGGATGGATTTGTAATGGTCATTTGATTTAACTTACCCTCAGCACTTCTCTCATTTCTCGGTGCAGTAGCCGCGTCGGTTCTGGATGTTGAGGGGGAGGAGTCGCACTGAGCGAGGGGCTTTGCCATGATAACAGTCGTCCAGTTGGGTAACTTTATCAAATAAACTGCAAAACAAACAACGAAGACTGACTGTAGTCTATGTGTTTCACACGGCTGAACTAAGTTAACTGGCAAACACAACACAAAGAACCATGACAACGCTCAACTTCTTTATGACGTCATTTTCGAACGCGCTTGAGACTGAAGCTGAACTACTTGTCATTGCCTACATTGTTCACAGCGGGGAAAATGTATTGTTTTCTATTCTAATGTTTCTACATAAAACACATTGTCCTTTCACTTCATAATAAAAAACAATATTTCTAGTATTATTTTATAACAATATTTTTTTATTTAAAGTCAGAATAATTTAGGGTTTGACTTTGACAGGATTAATAAGAGAACAACCATTGAAAAATGTGTTAAGATAATTTGGTGACATATCAGGAAAAGTGGAAAATTTATTTAAATCCTAGATTACGCATATATAAAATATAATGGACCGCTTGCACTGAACTTCACGATCTTCCGTGTGGAAATAATACATATCACTTTTGGTTATGTTTACTTTCAATGTACTGCAGTCAATGAGTTGAACAAACGCCACCTAAAATATACATATAAAAATATGTATAAATAAAGAGTGACGTAGGCGTGCGAGAGATCACTTCCGGCGCATGCGCAGACCGAAGCGCCTGTGCCTTCAGATCACTGGGACGTGGCTGTGGTTACAAGAGGTAAAAAAAACCGATATAAATACTGTTCGTTTTCTCACACAAACCGCTCGTTTCCTGTCTTAGGCCATCAATGTGTACTTACATTTACAAGTCTTTAAATCATGTTTAATTTGGACTTCTCTGTGCTGCTCTTTGAGGTGGACCCCATAGATCTCCATTATATGACTGACAGACAAGAACAGTTTTACCTAAAAATGTCAAAATTGAAAATACTGCAGAGACACCATATTGGATGCCCTTGAGGTAATCTATAAACATATCAAAAATTAATTTCAAAGTGAACTATCCCTTTAATATTCAAAGAAGTTGACTGTCATTCTCCTCTACGCTGCGTGCGTTCTGGTCGTAGGCACCTCGCGAGCATTCATTCATTCATTCAACTATTACCAATGCACACAAGAAATACTTTTTATTAGTCAAATTCATAAAAAAAAAAAAAAAATTCAAGTATAGAATATAGGTAGGCTAAGTGAAAAATACTGAACGAGATGACACATGACTGCTGCAGGTTAGTGGATAAATATAGTTAGCCTATTTATTCAGAATGGAACAGTTGGAAAGAAAATATATTTATAGGAACATTTCAGCAGGCTCAAGATAATTAATACAGAGATCATTATTCATTGTTTTAATCAATTGGCATCCATAAAACATAGTGATAATCTGCATTCTCATGTATGGACCATAGACAGTATAAGAAGTGGACAGAGCCATCTCATTGGAACTCAATTGAGACAAGTGAAGCCCACTTTTAGCGATTTTTTTAGCACTTCCGTTCCTGACGCGCAGACTCAAACCGACTCAAACAGAGCTTGACGATGTAGATGTGACGTGAGCAACCCGTCTGTCTTCTAGTGGCTGTGGCATGAGAAATCTGAACCATTCCCTTCTGAAACTTGCAGAAGCAGAGAGTGTGAGTAGGAGCTGTCCATGAGCTAGGAGAAGGAGAAACTTTTGCTAGGTATTCTGATTAATTATTTTGTTATTTTAGGCGCTTTTCCACTGCATAGTACGGTACGGTTCGGTTCAGTACGTCTCACTTGTGGTGCTTTTCCACTGCATGGTACGGTACAGTACGGTTCGCTTCAGGTCGCTTTAAATGGTACCTCGTCTGTTGAGGTTCCAAGCGTACCGTACCGGTACTAAAATGTGACGTGAAACACTGCAGATCACTGATTGGTTAGACAGAATCGTCACTACCAGCGTCACTAGCGTCATTGGATTTGCGACACGAGACACTTTTTTTATCAGTATTTTTGTTTTGCTGCCATTAGCCTCATTTTAAACACATTTTTCCGTCTAGCAGTTAAAAACAACCACATACCGAGAATCAGGAACACCATCCCCTCGCTAGTCTCCATTGTTCCTGTGTTGTGGGTTTGAAAATGTGGCGCTTTTAAGATGATGTCATGGCAGTAGAGGCGCGCGCAAATAACGATCAGCCCCACACACTTTGAAGGGGTACTACTGCAGTGGAAACGCAAAGCGATCCGAACTGTTCCGCGCCGAGTCGAAGTGTACTGAGCCGAACCGTACCGTACTATGCAGTGGAAAAGCGCCATTTGCCTCCACGTTTCTCCGATTGACCACAAGTATCTCCTCCTGTCCATACGGTAATCTCTCTACTGTACTGAAATAACAAACACATGACCAATTGCAGGTAAGTAAACAAAAATAAATACAGCACAAACAAATAATGTGTTTGCTGTCACAAAGCTTTGGATGTCCACAATGTTTATTTCCACTAGATGGCGCTTGTGTACTTCAACACTCATTTATTTCAGCAACTTTGAATCAGTTTAATCTGTACATTTTTATATTTCAACTATTTTATAATGCTTGTTGTGATTAATATACTCAACTGTTGTACATTTGAGCAATAATTCTTTTTTCTAAGAGTTTTATGGATATATTTGATTTTGTTCCCATCGTGTCTTTGTATGTCACTTCCTGTTTTTGCCATGGAACAACGAGTCAGAACTGCGGTCGGAGTTTACAATTCTCTTAAAAGATGTAATCGCAAGGTTTAAAGTGTTTATCATTATGATAAGTCATGCAATCAAGAAGCTTCAAGATGTAACCCCCTCTCTTAGCTCACAAGCAGGCAAAAGTGGTATGTATTTTCTGTTTATGTACGAGTTTAAACTCGTGTGTTTTCCATGTAACTGACTGTGATATGTTTTGGTTGTATATTCATCCTTTTAGTTCTACGGTGTTGATGTCTGAGTCCAGAGAGCATTAAACATCAGTTAAAAGAACCTCAGCCTTCGTGTTGTGACTAAGAGCGGTACAGTAGAACACTTGCTGCGTCGAAGAAGGCCAAAGCAACTGATCGTAAAGCTGCACGAGGAAGACGGCCATCAAGAGGCGCCACGTGTTGAATGAGGGAAGTACAACATGAAAATATCACAATTGACTGACTAAAGCAGCCAGTGGGCAAGTGAAGGCTGAACAAGCAAGCACTATTAAAGTTAGTGACTTGGAAGCAGCACAAGGTCTTGTGAACTGTTCGCTGAAGTTTTAATCAATCTGGTATTTCTGTCATCCTCATTCTGAGAGAAAGTTGGACATTTTTCTATTATCGTTTGACTTAAGAAACTGAAGGGATTAAATAGATAGGCAATTGTGCTACTATTGAATTGAAACTATTGAAAGACTAAAATTTGATTTTTTTGTTTTATTCAAGTGTTTTGCATACCTTATGATTTAAGTGTGTTGCAAGTTATAAGTTCATACTTTGCTACTTGACAGTTCTACATTTTTTATATTTTACATGATTCAGTCATATAAGTCAAGCTGAGATAATCGCTTTACACTAAACCTTAGATTTATTTTGAGCTCTTTGAATATTCACATTATAGTGCAACACAGGCCATGTCATACACAAGTGAAGAAACATTGCTGCCTATTAAAGAAGTCAGCTCTACACACCCTACTTCACAAGACGAAGGCAGTGCAGAGCAGGTTATCCCACCACAGCAGGATGATATAACTGATCAAGTTGAAGTGGCTGCACAGGCACATCAACCTCAGGTTGACGCAGATAATACACAGCTCCCAGATATCAGAAGAAGTCAGCGAGTACGCACGCTTACCGAGAAGGGTAAAACACTGCTAGACGCTAGACTAAAGGATCTGGAAAGAAGCTTTGATCAGAAGTATAAAAGATGGAAATATCACATCAATGGATTGAAAAGAGCCATTAAGAACAATGATGATGCAGAATTGATTTGTGAAGTTGTGAGCACAATTAACACCATTCAGTCTGAGGTTGACCATATTTATGGTGATATAAGAAGCATCACAAGCCCGGAACCTGAAATCAGAAGAAAAAATGACACTTGTCTTGCCATTACTAGCATTGCAAATGAGAAGTCTCAGAGCTTTCTCAATGGTGATCCTAAGGAAATTCCCTGGCCTGATTCAGATTCAGTGTTTGAAGCCACGGTGTCCAGCGTTATCTCAGCAACCTCCAGTAAGTCAAGGTCTGTTTCCAAATTGTCCAGTCGATCTTACAGTGATTCCCTGCAGAGAAGACAAGAAGCAGCAGCTGAAGTAGCGGCTACACAAGAAGTGATTAAAATAATGAAGACGCAACATCAACATGAAGAGGAAATTAGGAAACTCGAGGCAGAGGATAAAAGGTTAACAGCAGAAAGAGAAGCTGAAGAAAGAGAAACTGAAGCGGAGAATGCAAGGAAAAGGGCTCAATTTATTTCAGAAAGCACTGTAAGGAAAATAAAGCTGGAAGAAAAGAAAAAGGAAGTGGAACGGTTGGAGGAACTAAAAAGACACAACGCAGCACAAGCAAGGCTGCAGGTTTACGCTGAAAGCATCAAAGGTGATGAAGGAGAACGGCATTCTGCTCCTCTTCTTCAACAAGGACAAGGAGGTTATATTTTTCAACCAAGTATTCCTTTTTCTCTTTCTAAGCCATTCATACTCGCACAAGACACTGCTCCTTTCAACCAACCCTCTTGTCCCTCTCAAGGGTTACCAATTCCCCAAGCCCATATCCCTCAGTCACCTTCACTGCTTGCTCCCAACGAAGCTTCTAATGACCTTGTGAAGGCGCTCGCTGAAGCGATTACAGCCAATAGGATCCCAGTTCCAGAACCTGTTATTTTCTCTGGAGATCCCCTAAAGTATAATGACTGGAAGCTGTCTTTCCAGACATTAATTGATCGCAAGAACTTGCCACCTCAAGAAAAGCTGTATTTTCTACGCAAGTATGTAGCTGGTCCGGCCAAGAGAGCTATTGAAGGACATTTTGTGGCTGGAACAGAAATAGCTTACATGGCAGCCTGGAACATCCTCGATGACAGGTTCGGCAATCCATTCGTAGTTGGCAAATCTTATCGTGACAAAATACAGTCTTGGCACAAGATTGCTACCAAAGATAGCAAAGATCTCCAGGAATTTGTAGATTTTCTAAGCAGTGTTGAGTCAGCCATGCCTTATGTTCAAGGTTTACAAGCTCTGAATGACTGTGTTGAAAATCAGAGAATATCAGCCAAATTGCCGGACTGGTTAAGTTCACGTTGGAATAGAGCAGTCACCAAGTTTCAAGACGAACACAAAGGGTTCCCAGATTTCAAATACTTTGTTGAATTCCTTGTCAAGGAAGCTCGAATTGCATGCAATCCCATCACGTCACTGCAAGCAATAAAGCCAGCAGAGCAAGAAAGGTACAAGCAAACAGATCAAGATCATAAGTTTCAGCGGAATCGCAACTCAACTGCCAAGACATTCACCACTAGTTCGAATGAGGAAAGGACCTTTATCTGTGTCTTTTGTAAGAGGTATGGCCACACCCTTCATAAGTGTCGTAAGATTATGGAAAGACCGATTGAGGAAAGATTGAAGTTTGTACAGTCTGAGAAGTTGTGCTTTGGCTGTCTTAAGGCTGGTCATAACTCCAGAAGCTGTTCCTCTAGGAGCGTGTGCGAAAAATGTGAGAAGCGTCACCCAACAAGCCTACACCAGGACCGTGTAAATAAATCCCCAGAACAAAGATCTAAAACCAGTGAAGATCAGTCCAAGGTTAATCAAAGATCTGCAGATAGATCAGCCGAATCACACAAGGTACAAGAGTCTAAGCCTGTGACTTCGAACAGAGTAGTTCAAGAAAGGAACGGCACTCATACCTCATCGATCATTCCAGTTTATGTCTCAACAACAGCTGAACCAAGGAAGGAGATTTTAGTGTATGCCTTGCTGGATACACAGAGTGACACTACTTTCATTCTAAAGGACACAGCTGAGACACTTGATATCAGGAAAGAGCCTGTCAAACTCAAGATTTCTACAATGACATCCAAAACGAAAGTTGTGTCCAGTCACAAATTGAATGGACTACAAGTAAGAGGGTTCCAGTCCGAAGTTAAAATAAAACTTCCAACAACTTACACTAGAGACTATATCCCTGCAAATAGATCTCATATACCCACGTGTGAAACAGCAAGGAACTGGCCTCATCTAGAACATCTGGCAGATGTAATGGCTCCTGCACTTGACTGTGAAGTAGGTTTGTTAATAGGATACAACTGTCCTCAAGCCTTACTTCCCAGAGATGTTCTCAGTGGCAGTGAGAATCAGCCCTTTGCACAAAGATCTGTGTTGGGTTGGAGTATCGTTGGATACAACCATGATGGCTGTTATCAAGATGAAATCGGTGTGAGTCACAGGATTATTATGAAGCAAGTTGTACCAGCTGGTGATCCAGCTCACAAACTCCAGTCTGAAGTTTACTTTGTACACAGGAACAAGGTAAAAGAGATGATCACTCCAGCAGAGATAATGAAAGTTTTTGAGTCAGACTTTGTTGAAAGGGGTGAGGAAGTCTCAACATCACAAGAAGATTTAAGGTTTTTGGCTAAATTGAACGAAGGCATTAAGCAAACGCAAGATGGACACTATGAGATGCCATTGCCTTTTAAGGGTGAGAGACCAGAGTTACCAAACAACAAAGCATGTGCAGAGCATCGACTCAGATCTCTAGAGAAGCGTTTAAGGAGAGATGAGCAGTACCGAAAGGATTACCTGGCTTTCATGAAGGACATAATGGCAAGAGGTGATGCTGAAAAGGTCCCGGAGTTCGAGTTAAGTAATCAACCAGCATGGTATATACCTCACCACGGAGTATATAACCCGCAGAAGCCAGGCAAGATTCGTGTCGTCTTTGATTGCTCTGCAAGATTTCAGAATACTTCTCTGAATGAGCATCTACTGACTGGGCCTGACCTCACAAATACCCTTGTTGGAGTCTTGTGTCGTTTCCGGAAAGGGCAAGTGGCCATCATGTGTGATGTGGAGCGTATGTTCCACCAGTTTCATGTTGCTCCGAAGGATCGGGATTACCTCAGGTTCCTATGGTGGGAAGATGGAAACATGAACGCCCCACCATCAGTTTTTCGAATGAAGGTTCACTTGTTCGGAGCGGCCTCCTCGCCTGGGTGTGCAAACTTTGGCCTCAAATACCTTGCCATGCAAGGTGAAGGCAAGTTTAATCAAGCCACAGTTAAGTTTATACAACGGAATTTTTATGTTGACGATGGTTTAGCAAGTGTAGACACT